CTGGATAACTCTTTTCTGCCTCACCCATAGAGAAGAATGGATACGATCATCGATTTGTAGATCTTGAACTTGGTAAGATTGTTGGTGTTTCTCTTCTATGCCCTGTCTAGTCTGACCATCGTTGCTGTCACTGTAGCAATTTGTACTGAAGGGGGCCATCATTTTAAAAGGTTGCTCGCAATTATTTAAAGCTCCCAGCTACACAGCGTTTTAAAAAGTTTATTGCCCGTTGCACGTCGTCTTGGTCTAAGAAACAGAGATGTCGACTATGAGCAAACCTGCCAAATCGGTTTGAGTATTCCTTGTTAAGATCCAGAGAAGAATCTGCAATATTATCGGTTTTGGTCTGGCAGCAAGTCTCCAGTCCCTTCACACCGTAGTAACACAGCTTCCCTAAGCCTTTTCTATATATACATTCATGGTAATTGTTCCGAGGATTTTTCCGCTGTGGTTGCTAGACTTTATGAATTTATGATCAGTATTGATTGGCGGCAAAGTCTCATCGTTTTACAGTTGAAATGGCTAAATGAAACTGTACGTCTAACGCTACCAGTTTCTTTTATCGCACTTCTCGCTTGTGGAACTCTGTTCCGGCTTTTTCCTTATTAGTCAAGCCTGATCTTCAAAAACTTAAATGCAATACCAATCGTTATCTTTTATCTCTTAAATTCTGTTCTTTTATTGTTCTCGCTTCTTAATAATTTTTCTTATATTCTTTCACACTCAGTAAAAGAATAGAAGAAAAATATTTTTGCTTTTGTCTTGCTTGGTATGAAATGATTAAAAAAAATAATGGTTTGTTTAAAAAAAACAAATGCATGGGAATATATATGGGTAAATATTGTCTGGCATGGCTTTAAAGACGGTAACTATGTGGCTTATGAGACTCATTCATAATGATTGAAGGCCGACCTTATATGATGCATGTGGACTCTGGCATCTATTGGCAATTCTTCAGGCCCCAACGCTGCATCATAGACTGAATGAACGACGTATAATTTTCTTACGTTTCTTTTTTTGCATTATTTCAGTGTGGGATACAGCAACAGTAGCATAGTTTCTTGAAGGAAACAAAAGGGAGACAGTGAGAGAGATTTGTAGGGCGTATCACGGTAGGTCTGCCAGCAAATTGCTATCACCTCGTGTAAAGATTGTTACTGTTTCAGCGTTTTTTGCGTCTTATATAAGGGATTCAGACGATGTCAGCATTGTCAGCATTGCCCTCCTACGGGGTTTAATCTACACCCACAGAGGTCATCAGTGTATTGACCAGTAAGGTAGGGCCTGCAATTTTGCGAAATCTGTAACAATGAAGTGTTTGACAAGTCTGTAACAATGAAGTGTTTGAAAACTTACCGAATTTTATCATTGTTTGGTGTTAGAATCAAAGACCCAAGATCATGAACTTTTTATGGCGTCCTGGATATGCTAACTTTGAAATATGATGCGGGAAAACTACGGCATATCTTGTTCTTGTAATCGACTCAGCTAGGTTTCGCGAATATTCGTAATCTTAGATTCCCTCACCAATAAATAAAATAGGATGTGCAGTTCTTTTTTAAGACATCATTGTGTCACCTAATGTCTTTTTCTGCATGCTCCACTGACTGGGAGGAGGCACGGTGAAGTAATGGATAACGGCTCGGATTGAGGAATCGGAGAACTGAGTTCGAATTCCAATCGAATCCATTACATTCACGTACGTACTAATACCCTTGGGAAAGATATGAATCCTCTTCTCCCTCCCCCACCAGCTATTGGTAAATAGCAAAACAGACCGGGTTCCAACTGGTCTACCACAGAAAGAATTGCCAACCTACTGCGGGAAAAAATCTGCCTCGTCAGTCATGTATCGAAAGAATCCATTACATTCACTTACGTGCTAATACCCTTGGCAAATTATGAAAATTCTTCTTCTCCACCCCCAGCTATTGGTAAATAGCAAGACAGACCGGATTCCAACTGGTCTACCACAGAAAGAATTGCCAACCTACTGCGGGAAAAAATCTGCCTCGTCAGTCATATATCGAAAGAATTCATTACATTCAATTACGTACTAATACCCTTGACAAAGTTGTGAATCTTCTTCTAATCACTCCCCGCCCCCACTAGCTATTTGTAAATAGCAAGACAGACTGGTTCCAACTTGTCTACCACAGAAAGAAATGACAACCTACTGAAGGAAAACTGCCCCGTCAGTCATGTATCGAAAGATAAATGATCGCCTAAGCGTGTATCACGCATGGCACGTAACTGACTGACCACTGACTGAGGCTCGGTCAGTAGAAGCGTTCAACGAGAATACACTTGTAAAAAAAAATTACCGCACACCATGGCGCTCCTGACACATTCAGGGACACTGATTGGCGAAGACTTGGTTAGACCAGTCATGTATTTGTTTATTAGTCGAATTACTTCACGTTGCAACGGACGAAAATGGATCATCTACTTTCTGGAAATAAAGGCTATGTGGGAAACAAACAAAAATCGGTAATAAAAACTAATTACCTTCGCTTGTCCATATCAGTTGCATGCGATGGGCCACTTAAATTAATGTCTAACCGCTTATTCCGTTGGGCAATTATGGTGCATATGAATTTTATCGCGCAGCTTTGACCAAATATAACGTGATCTTACGATTCCTGTCGTTGCAAACGAAAAATAAAGTAAAAAAGAAATAAGGAAAGATTTTCAACGTCGCATCGTGAGAGAAAAAAGGAAAATTTACATTACGTTAACTCAAGCAGATTGTTCGAGTGAAAGAAATTAGTTTACAAGATAGTGCCACAAATTGAACTGATTACAATAAAATTGTATTATTAGTTTAGACATAACATCGAGATTACTTGTTGGATTTTACAAGAGTACAAATGAAAACATCATTCAACAACCAAGATGACTTCTCAGAATTAGATATTATTATTAATAATAATAATAATAATAATAATAATACAACAGTACAAATGAAAACATCATTCAACAATCAAGATGACTTCTCAGAATTAGATATTATTATTATTATTATTATTAATAATAATAATATCTAAGATATCAGAATCAGATATTATTATTATTAATAATAATAATAATATCTAATTCTGAGAAGTCATCTTGATTGTTGAATGATGCTTTTATTTGTACTCTTGTATTATTATCATTATTATTATTATTATTAATAATAATAATAATAATAATAGTAGTAGTAGTAGTAGTATTCGAGTGATACTACGGCCAAGTTCCCACTGTCTATAAAATGCTTCGGTGATACGCGCCTCAAATAGCCTCTGACTCCAGCTCGAAAGTGGACAATGAGCGATGTCGGACAACTGGCGCTTCTTAACCAGCTGTAACGGGTAGAGGGAGTTCGAAATCCCTGGTAGAAGGCAGCCTATCTAGAGAAAAGAAAACCCTGATTTTAAACATCAGCTGTCTTGGGGTCATATTCAAATGCGGAAAAGCCCAATGGAAATAAATCAAGACGGAAAACCCGGAGTGGAAACCCGAAGGATATCTGGCTGTCAACTCTGACAATTTTCCCCACAAATCCTGCATCCAAACCGTCCCCAATTGCAATTCCCTGTATCCCTTTGAATCTTTGTTTCACGTAGTTTTGGCAACGGCGCCACCTCTATATAACATCGCCCAGTCCTTAAGAATGTTCACTTCAGTGTCACCACCAAAGGACAAAATTTGGAGCAAACCTGCATTTATCTCATAAGAAAAAGGATCTCTATCATTATTATTATTAGTAGTAGTAGTATATTATTAATATTATTGTTATTAGTAGTAGTAGTAGTAGTAATAGTAGAAATAGAAAAAAGGTTTCCGCTGTCTTTCCGTTTTAATCCTCTGACGAATCGCAATAATTATGTTAATGATTGAATAAGCTTTTTGCAATGGGAATTTCTAATTATTGTCTTTTTATGGTACGTACACTTTATAAATCTAAATACTTTATGAATTTATTAGCAATACTAGATTGACAGGAAGTTCTCATCAGTTTACAATTGAAATGGCTAGCTGTATTCGTAATTTTTATGCCAAGACTTTCTTCTATCGCACTTCTCGTTTGTGGAACTCTCTTCCATCTTCTTGCTTAACAGTTAAATCTGATCTTCAGAAATTGAAATGTAATGTCAGTCGTTATCTTCTGTCTTCTTGATTATTGTTTTTCATTTTCCTCTCTCCTTAATATTATGCATTTCTCATATTCTTTGACACTCAGTAAGTCATAGATTTCTAGACGTTTTATTATCTTACATGAGGCGAGATGATTGAAAATTTATGTTATGCTAGACAATTCTTCTGATCGCAATCTATCTTACACATTTATAAGTACCATTCCTTCATTCTTCGCATATTGCTACCAATTCTGGTCAGGTCTTCCTGATATGTATCTCGTGATTCTTGACATAATCCAAAGAATATGTAATTTCAACGGTTCTGACCGGATATCTCGGGTTCATTTGTTTTATACTGCCGTAAAGTAGTTTGCCTCTTTTTTTTCTATGAATCCATTAAGAGTAATTGTTCTGGTTATATTTTCTCTTACATACCTCGAGGAGGCAGGTTGGAGTAATGGATAGCGAATCGGATTGAGGAATCAGAGAGCCGAGTTCAAATTCCAATCGAATCTATTACATGCTAATGCCCAGCTATAGGTAAATAGCATGACAGACAGGGTTCAATAGCCTTGGATGGCAACTGGTCTACCGCAGAAAGAAATGACTGCCTACTGCGGGGAAAAAAATAACTGTCTCGTCAGTCATGTATCGAAAGATACATGATCGACTATGCGTGTATCACGTATGGTACATAAAGTAATGATTTCTTGTATATATGCCGAGTTTGAATTCCTTGCTATCAATTACGATCTTCAAAAATGTAGATGTAAAATCATCTCCACCGAAGACTGTTCTTTTGAAACTTTTGCGTCTTATTGCATTTTATCGCCTTGTTTTATGTGAAATGAAATGATAAACCGCAAGAATACCCACAGCTTACGGCTATATCACGTTGAGAGAGACACAGGTTCCTGTAGAATCACCGAAGTTAAGCAACGTCGAGCCTGGTCAGTACCGAGATATGAGACCGCTTGGGAATACCAGATGACGTTATTCAGTCACCCCAGGCCTTTTTAACGTGGGCACTCCGAGCCCGTGGGCTCGGCCAAAAATATGCCCATTGAACCCGTATAAACAGGTTCAGGGCCGTTTTACCTCCCCGAAGGATACTCCGCCCTTCGGCGTAGCCTCCTTCGGCTTCCTCCCGTCCGTAGGAAGAGAGTTCAACCGAACAGTCGCTCAGAAAGTACTGACTCGACTGACTCATACCAGAATACCAGATGACGTAACCTTGGATATAAGGGTGGTATGGCTTACAGCCGCAACACGTTGAAATACCGGTTCCTGTACGATCACCGAAGTTAAGCAACGTTTAGCCTTGTTAGTATCTAGATGGGTGACCTCTTGGAAAGAATAGACTGTGTAACGTTGGGTGTGTGGTGGTATGACTAACGGCCATGTAACGAATGAAACACTTGCCCCTGCACGATCACTGAAAATAAGCAATGTCAAGCCTGGTCAGTACATAAAAGGGTGACCCCTTGGGAATACTAGTTGCCGTAGGTTTGCATGCATGGGTGGTGTAATGCATAATAATTCTGCATTTTTCGTTATATTCAGACTTGGAGAAAGTCCGAATCTGCCACTTCTCCCTCCCGCTATCACTAAATCATCACTAATCACCACCAAAAAATCCTTAGCGTCTAAAATATGTCCTGGCTTTAAATAACCTACGAAGTGTTGATAAGGCATAGAAAACGTATCAATCAATCAATGAACTACTGATTAGCTATACAAGCGTGACTCTTAGGTTTATTTATATTTTCTCCTATATAAATGTGTAAAAACTACTGTGGCCACAAACTGGGAGTTTATTTTATATATTGATTGTAATATAGAATTAATCACCCACTTTATATCCACATTAGGATTTATTGTTTGTTTATCGAATTCTGATTAGGTAGAAATCCATCTATTCTCCCACCACGTTATGGGTTAATTAGTAAGATTTGCATACCTAAATCATCACTAATCCCACCACAAAAAATCCTTAGCGTCTAAAAATATTTTCTGGCTTTAAATAACCTACGAAGGATTGTAAAGTCGTAGAAAACGTACCAATCAACCAATGAGATACAGATTTGCAACACGAATGTCTCTTAGATTTTACATTCTCTCCTATATAAATGTATAGGAACTAAACTGAGGGATCATTATATATATATATATATATATTGATTTTAATATTGAATTCATCCCCCACTTTATATCCACATTAGGATTTATTGTTTGTTTATCAGATTCTGATTAGGTACGATTCAACCTATTCTCCCCCGGTTATGGGTTAATTAGTAAGACTTGTATACCTAAATCATTATTAATCCCACCACAAAAAAAATCCTTAGGGTCTAAAAGTATTTTCTGGCTTTAAATAACCTGCGAAGGATTGATAAGTCGCAGAAAACGTACAAATCAATCAATGATATATTGATTTGCGACACCTGGAATGACTTTTAGATTTATTTACATTCTCTCCTATATAAATGTATAGGGACTAATGTGGTCACAAACAGAGGGATCATTTTATATATTGATTGTAATATAGAATTCATCTCTGACTTTATATCCACATTAGTAGTTATTGTTTGTTTATCAAGTTCTGATTAGGTACGAATCAACCTATTTCTCCTCCCCAGTTGTGGGCTAATAAGTTAGACTTGTATCACTAAACCATTATTATCTGAAAAATATCTATCAATCTAAAGATATTTTCTGGCATTAAATAACCTCCAATGGGTTGATAAAGTGTTAAAAACGAATCACTCAATCAACTAAAAGAATACACATTGGACTAGTATATTTTGTTGAATATTTACGTATGCCAGTAACGAAATACTGCGTGAGTATAATCTTGGAATAAACATTTGCCGGTCATCCCCTTCTTTTAAACCTTCAATATTCCACGAACATTGGTAAATATCAAGTATTGGAAGAACAGCCAATAATCTCAGAAGAATACAACTAACTGAATTTGGCCTCGAGGTGCTTATATTTTCGCCAAATTTCCCGTTTCCGTTGTTAAGAATATAGAAGAAAATTTATTGGAATCTTCCAATTTCTAACAGAGTTTCGGTTCTTCCGATAGCATATTATTTCAATAGACTACTTCGCTGATGGCACTGTTAGCAGCTGTCGAGGTATTATCAAAAGTATATTCGCTTTTTAATCATCATCAACAACAAGAAGCCTTGGTTTGGTTTCGTGTTTTTTCTTTAACGGCATAGCAACCCGTAATGCAAAAATCTAAATAGGAAAATTCAAACTTTATAATTAATTCAGACGAAAGATATTATTTCATGGTTAACTTATAATTACTTTGCTGCATGTTCTTTATCAAACCATCTAACAAAATAAAACGTAGAAAGAAACTTTATTCTCCCTAAAAGGAGAGAGATTAATCGTCGTAGAAAGGTATTTTTTACGATTTAGGACTTATGGAAAGTTATTTTACCATAAAAAAGTATTATTGGTCATTTCGCTATAAAATGTATTGTTAGTAATTGTTTCATACAAATACTGGTATTTTTTAATCGAAAATGTAATTTTATACTTTTTTAGTGTTTTGCTTTTTGTTTGGTGTGTTCACTATTTGGCCAGTGTTTGGACCCTAACAGGTGCTACTTCCCCGGAACTGGGTAAACCTGGGAACAACATCAATTAAAAGGTTCTAGACTCCACAAAACCTCCAATGTCCTGATCAGAGGCGTTGCAGCCGGAAGGGTGGATATAGCAACAGGTGATACCGCCCGGTGAACAGTGTAGACCTGAGATCAGCATCAATAGATCTACGACTCTTAAAACCTTCAATCTCCCGATAAGGGGTTTTGATGCTGGAAGGATGGACATGGGAACAGGTGCTACCGCCAAGGAACAGTGCAGACCCGGGAACAACATCAATTAAGAGGTGGTTCCACACGCCTCAAAAGCAAATCTCAAAATCTCTTGACCACAGTCTTTGCTGCCAGAAGGATGGACATGGGAACCGATGATACCGCCGTGGAACAGGGCAAACCTAGGAACAACATAAATTAAGAAGTGGTCCTATGCTCCTCAAAACCTCCTATATCCCGATCAGAGGCCTTGCAGCCGGAAGGGTGGACATGGGAACAGCTGATCGCCGCGGAACGGGGCAAACCTAGGAACAACATAAATTAAGAAGTGGTCCTATGCTCCTCAAAACCTCCTATCTCCCGATCAGAGGCCTTGCTGCCGGAAGGGTGGACATGGGAACAGCTGATCGCCGCGGAACGGGGCAAACCTAGGAACAACATAAATTAAGAAGTGGTTCCACGCTCCTCAAAACCTCAAGTCTCCCGATCAGAGGCCTTGCTGCCGGAAGGGTGGACATGGGAACAGATGCTACTGCCCCGGAACAGGGCAGACCTGGGTACAACATCAATTAAGAGGTGGTTCCACGCTCCTCAAAACCTCCAGTCTCCCGTTCACATTCACTTACACACAAATATTCTTGGGAAATGCATAAACCTGCCTCTTCTTTTTCTCCCTATGGATTATTTAGCAGAATGCGTAAAGCATTAGTATCTCCCAAAATTTCTTACAATCTAAAATATGTATTCTGGCTTCAAATAAACAGTTTAGTTTGATTTGATCTGCCGGAAATAAGAAATCAGTCGTTCACCAGAGATCACGAGTTGCCCGTATACACAATTAAAAGTGACACCTTCTTTTATTTTTCCATGTATTGTGGCCATTTTGCTTAAAGTTTCTAATTTCTTCATTTTAGAAGATGTCTTTGAATTTTCCCAAGATATTTCAGTGAAATGTTTACTTTCCAAAATTATATTTTTGATATGAGGAAAAGAAGAAGCCGACATTTTAAATGATGCCACGAGGCTTTTGTGTTAATTTAGTTTATTCCTGATATGCCTGTAGGTTTCAATGGAGTGCGTTATTTTTTTTAATGTCTACAGCAAATGTAACTAAAAGAATAAGTTCATTACAGCAAAACACTATTTTTTTATCTTTGCATTTTATAATAGTTAAGATGCATTTATTTTTTTTTATTATTTTGGCGCATTGCAAGAATATAAATACATGAGATTTACTTGCCCACCCACCACTGAGTCAGGTTGTCAGTTTTTTTTACGTGGGTATCCAAGTGTTTTCACTCGGACCGCTGGTCTAAGCTAGTCATAGCTGGTCTTGGCTTGTCATAGCTGTTCCAAGCTAGTCATAGTCATGATGCCACTAGCACAAGGACGGATCCCTACACCAGGTAGGTAGATACTTACTTGACACCCCACCACTCAGTCAGGTTGTGACACAAGGTCAGTTTTTAACGTGGTGACCTGATTGTTTTCATTCGGGCCACTGGTCTAACCTGGTCTTATCTGGCCATAGCTTGTCCAAGCTGGTCAGAGATCGTCTAAGCTTGTCGTAGCTGGTCTTGGCTTGTCATAGCTAGTCCAAACTGGTCAGAGCCGGTCCAAGCCAGTCGCAACCGTGAAACTACCAGCCCAGGGACGAGCCCTGGGCCAGGTAAGTATATTTACTTGACCCCCCCCCCACTGAGTCAGGTTGTGCCACAAGGTTGGTTTTTAACGTGGGGACGCGAGTGTTTTCACTCCTGCCGCTGGTCTAAGCTGGTCTTAGCTGGTCATAGCTTGTCCAAGCTGGTCAGAGCTGGTCTAAGCTAGTCATAGCTGGTCTTGGCTTGTCCTAGCTGGTCCAGGCCAGAGGCGATCTAAGCTAGTCCTAGCCGTGATACCACCAGCCCAGAGACGATCCCTGTGCCAGCTAAGTATGCAAAAATATAAGTAAGGGCATAGATGGGCTTGAATATATGAATAATTCTTTAGTCTTAACCGAGGAACATTTCACAATTTTCTAATTTGAATTTTTTGACGAATATTAATTCTTCAATTAATGATTGACTGAACTGATGACGTGTTCAACGACAATAAAACATCTGCAGAAATTTCCCTATTGCATCGTTAAATATTTAAGCTTAACATCTTTAAGAAAATATTGCAATAACAATCATAAATATGAATGCTGGATGTTAGTTTAAGAAGTGGGTAGAAATTAAAAGATATTACTAGACATTTGTCTCTTTTCAAATTAAAAATGGTTCTTTTTCTGTAATTCAAACAGTATATACTCGATTACTAAAATTTGGCAGCATTTTCAATTAACCTCCATTTTTAATTGTGATGTTCTACTCATTTTCCTTGTGAAATTGATGCCCACTAAGTGTTGCCAACCTTGAATAATAATAATAATAATAATAATGTCCTTTCTTATTGACAAGGCAGTTCCTGCAGATTGTAATGTATCTTTGAAGATCTTCAAAAAACTAACAAAATACAAGGATCTTGAAATGGAAATCTCAAAAA